TACAAACAAACAGTGAAAATAAAAGCGTATGGATACTAATATATTAAAAAGGGTTGAAGAGAACTCTAAAATAAGGAAGGGGTTGTCACAGTTGAAATAACTGTTGATTTAGTCTTTGCGTAACTAGCTTAGAATGTGGTTTTAGTAAGGTATACTTATGTAATTCTAATAAATGTTGGTGTTTAAAGACATCCGCATTAATAGAATGTAGAAAGGTCGTGAACATTCACTCATCTGTTTGCTTAAGTACAGGTTATATAGTTCAACAGAAGCTAGTATCAGCTTCACCCCGTACCTGTCTCTAATACCTGGAGAAGGATAAACTCATTTTAAGGGGTGATACAGATACTGGTACAAGTTGGTATGAACCGGAGTTTTCTCCGTTGTATATATTATTTGGAACAGCCATTAATGTATGCAATCTAAATATTGTGGGATACTACATAGGATCCTGGTATTAAATTATTCCTTCTTATGTTTTTGCCCTGAGTGGGTATGTGGTATTCCTGCTCCTGTTCGGAAACTCTCTCTCTAGACCCCCTACCGGCCAATTTGTGTTCAAACAATTATTGTAAATAAGGGTATTATTTTGTATGTTCACCTATATATTTTTTCTTTCTTTGCTGTCTGTGTTCATTGTATTACTCTGCAAAACATTTCCAGAAATTACACTTTATGGCTACTTGTATTATTATTATCTGTGACATCAATGTGCCTGAATACTATTTGCAGCATGCAATTATTCAATATAACAACACTGAAATAATTTCTGCACAAGTATGAAAGCACTCCACATAACAGAAGGTGTGTTTATGGTATGTAGTCATGTGATACAACAGTGTGTATATTGAACATAACCACATCGTAAAGCCGTGTCTATGCCAATACGTAATGTATGTACAGCATGTATTCATTTTAGTCTCAACAGATTGATTACGGTTGGAAGTAACCGAATATATTATATGCAGCCATATAAGTAGACAATTTGACATCGTGTGCATTGCAAACACGTAAATAAAAGTTGTAGTATAACTACTTGATACAGCGATGATTGCACACAATGTTTAAACAAGTATAACAGAAACAAAAAGATGATATCCAACCACATAGCCTGACAGTCTCATTGTTCAGGTATGGGTAAAAACAATAACGGATACTTTAAATTCTATGATTCTAAAAATTTAGAATTATTTTTTCTATGTTGCAAGTGTCATAAAAAGTAAATCAAGCCGATCATTATACATTTGATATAGGTGATTGAGCATAGTCTTGTGATTAGCATGTTGAGCTGTCGAAGGGTCCAAAACGAAGTGCTGAACTTTCAGATGTGGATGTTTATAATTGTGACAGTCAATCCGCTTATTTAGATCATACAGCCAGAAAAAGTATTGTGGCATTCGATGCTGCTGGTTAGCTGCCTTCCCTCTGGTCAGTAGTTCAAAAATTAGGGATTTTTATATTTGAAATCTAATATTCTCTGACATGACCCTTTGACCCAACTTATGCACAGTGCTGTTTAATTTGAAAATTCAAAATTCCAGTTCAAATCAACATAACAGAGACAACTATCGATTATGTTTACCTTCCTCGAACTTTTTAAAATATTATGAACTTCCCCAATATGTTTTATGAACCTTATTCTTGTTCTGGTGTTACTTTCCATCTAAACTGTACTGCTTTTTAACTAATCAATCTATCTTTCTACTTGATTAATAATACAAATCAAGACATATTGAAAGATTTATAATGTCCAAAAATATTTTGTAGTTACCTTCTGTTCACTTCTTTTTACTTACAAATTAAAAAATCCTGTAGGATAACTTCGATTTATTTCCCACAAGTTCAGAACTCGTTTTAAAATACTATAAACATAACGTTTTGTGGCAGTTTCTCATCATAAATTAATCTAACACTTTACTAAATGTCAATTTTATATGAAATAAGTAAAATAGCCGTGAAAAGATAAAACGATCATACAGAAGTTTGAGTACCTTATTTTACAATTTTGGAGCCTCACCACGTCATTATAGTACACTTCGCCACGTCCGGTTATGCTCTGTTTGAAGATAGCACATGTTGATAATAGCCCTGCATCACAGTTTCCAATGCAAAAGGGTCTTTCGCAAGACTGCAATATACAAAGCACACCAATCCTCCCTGCAACCTTTCCACAATCCATCGGTTTCCCAGTGCCCGTTTAAACAGTCCAATTGCACATAAATTCATAGGTGACTTGACCAGTATGTCTTCATACTGGATTAGCGTAATTACCAATTTCGTTCTATAGCTGTTTGATGTATGTGACAGTTGAATAGGAGGTATGACTGGAAGCCTTATCTCGATGAATCCACACCATATTGGCCTTGTTTCCAAATGGACATCTTTCCTGCTCATGTTGTGTACTGTTGCCTGGAGCACATGGATGTATTTACCACGAACATTTGCGTACATGTATTCTCACCTATTACAAGACACTACATTTTGCTTACCACGGCAAGGGTACGACTTGTTTCAGGCCTTTTTCTGGATGGTCCTGGTTCTCAAAGTTCATCCATATTCTTTTGTTTCCCAGTATTATTAAGTACTAAGGATATGCCCATGTTCGAAAAATTCTAAATCCCCGATCTGAGCACACTGTTATGATCTGGGTGACATTAAACTACTCACATAACGCCAAACAATGTCGAAATGTATATCAGATACATCATTACGCCGCGACTTTATATTGGCTATGGTTGTTACGTGACTCGCTGATTTGCATATCCAAAAGTCAACACTGTATGTTCCTTATAATTACTAACAAAGGACGTTTGTTAAAACTTGTTCTCCTTATTCCTTCAAAATCATATATATATATTCGGAAGAAAAGAAGAAACATCTGCAGTCTAGTGTGATGTTTTAGGCCTATTGGTTCCATTGCTTTGCCAACTTTCTACTGCAACATTATATATCTCATAATACATACGAATGACGTTTCTAATAGATCTTTTGGATGCAATTATACGAGATTGACCTGAAATACTGTTTTACAGACCTCCGATATGAAATCATCCATGGACTAATTAACAGAAATGTGACAAAAAAAAACCTGTAGTATAACATGAGTTTTATCACAAATAGTAAGCCTATTTGTTCCATTACTTCTATAGCTTTCAGCTTGTAACACCGTAATAATATAAAAAAGTCATAACAATAAACCGAAAAATGTGACTGACAATATTCAACAAATGTGTAAAGAACATTATGTTAGACTTGCAGAGACAAAAAAAAAAACAAAAAAACTGTTACACTTTTCATACTTCTGAAGATATTCTACAGAACTAGGAAAACCAGAGAGAGGAGGATAAAAGAAACACACAAGCATGTATTGCTGACAAGTGAAAGAGAGACGTCTAGTTATGTAAACATAGAAGTTTCGATGGTTCCTACATTCTATTAATAGCCTCGAGTGTTGATGAACAGTAAATATACTGTACATGAAGAGAACCTCAGCACCGAAGACGAAAACGATGGAGTTTTTTATTTTAATATTTTTCCAAGAACAGTTCAGTGGTTAAAAAAATAAATTGACATCAGCCTTCTTGATAAACCTCCGGCTTCCATTAAGATTGGCGCTGATTATTTTCATTTTGTTAGTAGTAGTAGTTTATTGTACACAAATGTAACCCTTTACTTGCTTATTTTCATACCTGGTATACATATAGCAAAAAGCTATTAATAAAACTAATCTGCCAAAACTGAAAACAATATTTCCAAAAATATTTAATAATAGTTAAACATTACATATATCAATATTTTCTTTCTCTTTGCAATGTTGTATGACTTAGAATAAAGTCAGAAAAACAATCTGTACCAGTAATGTTTTCAAATGAGCATATCAAGGTTAAACTGTATATATATATATGTCTAAAACTTATTAGCCAAATTTTGGGTTTAACGGCTTCAATGTGTCTACATAGATGCAAATAACAGCTTACCTAAGTTTCTACAACAACTGACAAAAATTATTGGGAGGTCAATGACTAGGGAATACAATGTTGAGTTTTCAAGTTTTCTTGCCAGTGTATATGGTGTTTTATTAAAGAGTGAAGAGGGTAAAATACTTACAGATTTTAATTCTACTGATTTTACAGCCACACGTTAAAAGAATTTCGACCCTGAATATTATTATATATTAATCTCGTGGGTTTTAAAAAGGCTTAACCTCATTATCTAGGTAGCATTTATAAGTAATGCTATAAGATTAGTAAAATTAACCTTAAATTAAAATTACGACATTTCCATGATAAAAAAAGCGGATTTTAACAATATAAATACTGTTGTGTATCCAAGTATTAAAGTAAATCAATGTGTTACTAAACATGGGGAATTACTTTTATCAAATGCACAGTCAATGTACTAGCTCTTATAATTTAGGCAAGTCTTTAAATAAGTGACATAGAGGTAATATTTTCTACTAACAAATAATTATACTGTAGCTATTATAAGTAACTAATATAAAAGTGAATAAGCCCATTATGATTACAAATGTGACAGCCCAACAAGTATGTACCTAGTTTTCCCATTAAATGTTTCTTCAATATGGTATTTTTAAACTGTTAGTAAGTGTTTGCAACATAACTATTTTTGTTTCACTTCACAACACAATGTGTGTTTCCAATTAATAGATCATTTGGTGGATTCTTTTCATTGTTCACTTGCTAAATTCATGGTGAGTGTATAAAATGCTTGGAAAAGAGAAGTATTTTCTTCATTTCAATTCTGCAAAATGCAAAATATATAAATGGGTTGTGTAATGAGATGAAAATTGAAATCAGTGAAAAATGTTATTAATTAAAAATCAAGCAGTTGAACCCAATTTAATAAAAGCATGGATTACAAAATGTATATAAACAAAAACAGAGATGGAAGTAGTATTGAGCATATCAACTTCTTTTTAAACAAAAACTTGTTATGTGATTGATTTACTACCCCAATATAATACTTATTTTTCTTAACAGCCTAAAACAAAACATAAGGTCCACAACAGAAACAAGATCCAAAGAAATAATGCACTATCCAAAAACCTACAATGGGATAACCATGACAATCAGGTGGAGCTACATCAATTGAAAGAGCAGGTACTAATGAAGTAATAAATAACTTCAGCTTGGTTATATGCTGATTATTTTAAAAGAAATGCCTTTGAAAGAATAACTTTGTTAACTAACCAGATTTTTACAACTAAAATTGTCATATTTAAATTTTCAAAACAATTTTTATCATTCATTGTGCTGGTTTTTAAGTTTTAAAATGGGCAATCCTGTAAACAAATTTCCAATACTTACTCAGTGGCAACTAATAGAGAAGATTAAAAAGTTCCCAAGTCAGATAGGAAGTAAGTTAAATCTGATGAAAATCAATATTTTAAATTTCTTTTTATTTTATAACCCAGACAATAAAAACAACAACAAAAAATATGGACAAAAGAATAACCTGAGATGTTATCCTTTTTGAGTGTTTAGAGACATTGGTACAGAAAGTATCCAACAACTAAGTAACAAAAATATCTGAGGAACAACTGCAGGATGGTTTGAGACAAAATTTATGAAACTTATCTAAAATGAAATTTGTACTGAGTGTACATTTTAATTCCAAGTCTGAATACTAAGTTCCTATCCATACATCAGTAAAAGCAGTAAACAGCATCTTAAATGATACTTCCTTATGGTTCACTGCTGATGAAGTACAACATCAGTACACTGAAAATGAACTTAAAAATGGGTTAAAACCAGGTGACGAAACCACAGATACCAGACTATTATTGATTCAGTAGATCATCACCAGCCTGATAGTAAGTATGTTTTTCATTCTCCAATCTTGTGAAACCGTTCACCAACAAGTGAAGTATATTTACAGCAGCATTACCCTAGAGTAAAGAAGTGACTTATCTATTTTGGGGCTGCTGAAATCCCCAAGATAATAGCTTTCAATATGAGAAACTTGTTTCTTCTTTATCTTATTGATTTACATATTTATATTACAAACACTTAACAGTTTATTAAACATTTTTTAATATAACTTAAGTCCATTGTGTTAGCTGAACCATTCTGATGAAGAACTCTGTTAGAAAATTGAACAATAAATTACATATTTATACATGTATGAATATTATACTATAACAATGAACAAGTGTTTTCTCTGAAAACATTTTGTAAATGTTTGTAAACAGAATCAACTCACAAATAAGTATTAAAGTAAATTACTATAATTTATAAAATTAACATTTTTATTTAAATATTAAAATACAAAGAGCTATAACAATCTAAATAACACATAATTGTTACAAATTTCTGTACCAATACTTCATTTCAGCACTATCAAGTACATATTTCAACTGTAAATATCAGGCAAGCCTAAGTACATTATAAGCATTTAACTTTAAAAGTACCATCAACAATTTTTCAAAGCATTCATTACTTTCATATTTTGTTTCAAGTGTATACATAAGATTTAAAAACATCAATGATTGAAAAGGTACCATAAATAATAATATTTTTTTAAGCTTTTTATGACTGGAACCATAGTGGATTTTACATGGCTTTCCAGAAATTGTTAAAAAAAGGATTAAATAACAACAAATCTTTTTTGGCTAGTTATCAATATACACTATTTTTCTTTAATACATTATTCATCATCAATCCTTTCTCTTTCATCATTGGCTTGTGAAGAAATATTTCATTGATATCCTCTGTATTTCAGGTCAAAAAACACTCTGATCTCAGACATGATAGCAGTGAACTTGTCTCCCACACAGTCAAGTCAGCAAATAATGGGAACAAAGAAAAAGATGACTGTCAACCTTTAATGACGAACAAGAAAGAAAGCAAAGTCTCTAATGGACACAAAAAAATATCACATGACCATCATCTATGTAAGTCTTCTATTAGTAGCAAGCAAAGAAATTCAATGCAGTACTATGATAGATAGAAACAGAAGCTAGCCAAATGAACACAACACCATAACAGATGTAGTTATGTTTTAATTATTTTAGTCAAATAAATTGTGGTCAGGTTATAGGGTTTTTATTCATTTCTATCAAGACTTCTTGAACCTACGTGTTTTTCTGACATCATTAATAATATTCTGTTTATAGTTATATGTGTAATTTCTATGTGTGTTTTTCTGACGCCATTAATAATATTCTGTTTATCGTTGTATGTGTGTTTTTCTGATGTCATTAATAATATTCTGTTTATAGTTATATGTGTAATTTCTATGTGTGTTTTACTGACATCATCAATAATATTCTGTTTATAGTTATATGTGTAATTTCTATCTGTTTTTCTGACATCATTAATAATATTCTGTTTATAGTTATATGTGTAATTTCTATCTGTTTTTCTGACATCATTAATAATATTCTGTTTATAGTTATATGTGTAATTTCTATGTGTGTTTTTCTGACATCATTAATAATATTCTGTTTATAGTTATATGTGTAATTTCTTTGTGTGTTTTTCTGACATCATTAATAATATTCTGTTTATAGTTATGTGTGTAATTTCTATGTGTTTTTCTGACGTCATTAATAATGTTCTGTTTATAGTTATATGTGTAATTTCTATGTGTGTTTTTCTGAGGTCATTAATAATATTCTGTTTATAGTTATGTGTGTGTAATTTTCCATGTACTTTTTTTACATCTTTTAGCAGATGTTCAGCTGTTATTCTTATTTCTTAAAATAACTTTTGATCATTGTCATTCCAGCTAAGACAAAAAAAGGAAAAATTACCCCAGAAATGAAGATTATAAGTAAAGGAGTGCACTACCATTTTAACCACACAAAAATACATAATCATCACCTTCGCAAAGCACAACATCTTCCTTCAAAAATGTTATTCAACAACCTGAAAGATTCTGGCAGTGGTCTCGTTGGAAACAAAAAATTAAACAATCTTTTGAAAACTGCATCAGGCCGAAAACTTCCCAAGAACAAAATCAAGAAGTTGAAGAAAACTGCCGAGAAGAAGAAGCTAGTACCAAAGTTGAAAGCAAAGTTCAATGTGTGATCATACATGTATTTTCCATATAAGTCAGTTACTAATAGGCTTCAGCTCAAAGAAAATAAGCTATTCATGGGAATAATTGCTATTGATTATTTATTCAACCCATTCACTACGGCTGGGGCGTATATTTCCCAGTGCTCCTATCCCCCTCATACTGTGACTGGGATCAAGTCAAGTCAAAGTTCATCATCAGAAACCAATGATGAACTTTGACTTGACATGATCCCAGTTGCAGCGTGAGAGGATGAGAGCACTGGGAAATATACGTACCAGCTACAGTGAAAGGATTAAAGAGAACTGACGCTATTAATTATTCAGTTACTTGCTTTTTAATGCTTAGATATAAAGTTGCAGGATATAGTCTGAAATTCTAAACCCTGTATTTACTTTCTAGAATATATGTGATGTTTAGATAGATGTTTTTTATTAGACACGTACCCATTTCACAGAGGGCATGTTATTCATCCAAATATACATAAGTAGCCTGAATTCTTTATAAATGTCAACAGAGCAAATAGCACAATTATTGAAGTACTTCTTCCTGATATATGTAAACAAAATTTTAGTTTTCATTTCTCTTCTTAACATTCCACATACAAAATGTAAAACATTCACTTTTCTCTCTCTCTCTCTCCATTATATAACTTTCACTGATATTTTCATTAGTTGTTTTTGATTGTACAACTTCCTCTTATTAATTTTTTAAGATTTTTTTCATTTAGTTTATAAAAAATCTTAGTGAAAAGCACCAGCCACATCAATTAAGATGAAAAACAAGCATATACAGTAAAATAGTAAACTGCAACATATTTAGTATTTATAAGCAATGAATTTAAGTGACATAAAAATGTGAAACTGAAAAAATGCATTAGTTTGTTCTAATTACTTGATAACTTAATCTGTTAGTAAATGTTGCACACCAGTAAGATGTAAGTAAAAGTATAATAAAATAAGTATTTGTAATACATACACATTAGAATAATGACAAACTTACCATCAAAAATTCATTTATAGATTCAGTCATTGAACTAGAAGATACAATGTCAACAACAGACTAAAAAACAGATCATCTCACTGAAAATTAATTTTTGTATTTTTTTTTAATTTGAAAAATATTTTTGGTTAATTGTTCTAACAAAATTCTTATCATACTACATACATACTAAACCAAACTTCTGATGTTGTTTTTCCAACTTTTGGTGGTTCTAACATTTCTCAGTATTTTGTTGTACAATATCAAACCAAAAAATGGTAGTCTTTAACACTAATTGTTCTTTAAATAAAATTACTATAAACTATGATTATACTGATAAACACTGTAAAATTACAATAAAATATTTTGTTTTCACCTGTTTCATGTACGTGTAACAGGTGAAAACATGTCATGTCTCAAAGCATCATTAAAATGATAGAAATCTGTATAACTGCCACCATTTTTTGAATAATTTAGACAAATAAATGTTGTTACTATTGAAAAATACTCTTGTGAAAAATGTTGCTTTATTTACATATGTAGTTTAATAAGAACATTATTTATACTTATATATATATATATATATACATATATATATATAGAGAGAGAGAGAGAGAGAGAGAGAGAGAAATTCTCATACTTTTTAAAAACAAAGATGATAATTCAAAGAGTATTTTTTATTTCAGTCT